GCAAATGTTCAACTCCATTGTTACGAGGTCTTGGAGTTCCACATTGGGGTTGACTGTCAGGTTGCACGTATTCAATCCCTCCATTATCTGGCTCTTGGAACCAATCTCATAATCAATATGGAAGTATTTTGGGTGTAGAAAATACCATGCTGGGCCCATGCGGCTTTGTTATTTCACTTATCATCTATAATCTTCCAAATTGGTTAATACTTTTGTCATAATCCCCCTAGTTCTTTACTCTTATTTCTTTAGCAAACTTCATTGTGTTGTAGATATGACCTATGGGTGGTTCCTTCTCATTATCCAACAAGCACAACATCTTCACTATAAGGGTGCTTAGAGTGACCACCATATTTCAACATAGGGGGCCCACCGTCAGTTGTGCATGGGGCCCACTTGGGATTCCCATGAGAAGCATGCCCCACATAGTGGGCATACTTTCCTTATTTCAAGGTTTTGTTATTCAAGGCATTCAATCAAGTTATGGAAAGTTTTATATTTTGAGTAGTTTGAATATTCAAAGAAGCTATGAATAAGAAGATTATGGAAACTTAAAATAAGTATAATATGTTTTCCATATTTCTGTATTGGATGGGATTAGGTTTAGGAAGCTGAAAGATAAGGTTCTAGCACCTTCTTTCAGATCACTCACTCACAGGTCTCATCTGATCAATAGTTTGGATCTAATTTTCATAAGGATGGCTAATCCTAAGAAACCCTAACCCTAAAGAAAATCTATAAATAGGGGCCCTATCTTCTCTAAATCTCTACACCTCTCTCTTCAACTCTCTCACTCAATATACATTATCGTATGTATTTTGTTGCACTATACCAAATACCTTGGACACTGAAATGGCAATATGCAATATCCCCCAATATAACCAATAATTATCAATATATACCATGCTTGAAAAAGCAGATATCAGTAAAATGGTGGGATGTCTTTGTCTGCCACCAACTTGAGCCTGATAATATTATTCTTAAACAAATATCTCTTGAAAATATATCTGTTCCATTTGACAACCCAAATAATTTATCAGAATATATATCCATAATGAAAAGGAAGAACCCACAAGCAACGAAAGCAGAATTAGAAAAGGAGTTGCTCAAAATATTTTCAGAAGAAGCTGAGACAGGCTAAGTACATCATGAAGGGTCAGCCTCAGTAACAATAGAATCAGAAGACCTTGAAGACCAGTCGGCCCATGGAATGTCACAAAAACCATCACTCTACTGACCTGGGCCGACCCGAATAAAGTATCATCAAGCCTATCAAATAAAGTAGCTGATACAGTACATGCTACATAAAAAGAAGATTCCTTCTTATCCCCATAACAATCAAGTCAATCAATAGTAAATATTCCTTCATCAGAACACGTGTCATCAATGACAAGACATAAGATTCGTCACCAACACCACCGACATATACGACAAAAATGCTACAAGGAAAGGTGAAGAGTAAAGTCACATCAAGTCAAAAGCAAACAGTAAAAGTAAGAGTCCCTACCTGCTTTTTCCCGACAAAGCACTGTCCTTCATCGACCAACTCACCTTATCTTCAGACCGAGAGAATCTCCAGCTCATCCCCATGATAATGACCTTTCCAATCCAGCTAAATGTTTTTGGCGTCCGCTCCCTATATAAGGAGGATCAAAACATTCTACCAGGGCATCAAGTCCTCGTCTACTCTTCTGCATAGAGTCCTAGTCCTCTGGTCTTCTCTTTGCTCTTCCTTCTCTTTAAATTTTAAGCTTAAAGCTATATCTCTCTCCTCTCTGTGTTAAAATTCTTATGTGTGATTGTAATTGGGAGAGTCTCCCAAATTATTATCCAAGCGAGTGGAAGGCCTTTTGCAGTTACTGTATCTGCTGACAGTAAGCTTTCTCTTTCTCTTCTTCTCTCTTTTCATATCTTATGTAACATGTTACAGTTTGTTTACACAGTCAGTTTGAGTCTGTAATATGTCACAGTAGGTTTGCATTACAGTTGTTTTATGTAACAGTTATTATCAGTTATTCAATATATAAGTTTGAATGTTATTATGCAAATTCAGAATTGTTCTTAGCATAGAAGTTTATGAATCATCTTATACTACTTGGATTTTAGTTGATATATCTCCTTTTTCACTATTTATTTTTATCATTCTTTTCTTATATTTAGGTTATTTTAGGTTATTAGCATAAAGGTTGATCTTGGCTATATATATATATATATATATATATATACATACACACATATATATAACCAAATATCGAAAAAAGTTACTGAACCACAACCCAATCTTGAGAAAAGATAAAGAAGAAACCGATCCTATAGTGGAAAACATTTGCAAAACTAAAAGGTGCAAAATCGAAACTTGAAACTAGAACATAACCACAAAACCCAATCTTAATGGTTTGCTTAGGCTCCGGGCCTTTGCTTAGGTGGGGTGCTTAGGGCCTCAGCCTGCCTCAAGCCACTCCTGAGAGGGGCCATATTTCGAATTACTGCCTGGGGTTTATGTAATAGCAATATGGTGTGCTGCTGAGGGAATGTCTACTACTGCCTGGGGTTTATGTAATATCAGTATGGTGTGCTGCTGAGGGAATGTCTACTACTGTTTCGAAATGCTGCCTGGGGTTTATGTAATATCAATATTTAATATCATATCACTGCCGGGGAATGTCTACTACTGTTTGGTTTTTGGACTTTTGATTCAGCAGTCCATTGTAATGGTGTAGTACCATACGTATGTTTTATTGGATGAAGATATACATATTTTTGGTTCCCACAAAGAATGTTGAATTTTCAGAAAGATGGATAGGATTTCAATGGAGAATTTTATGATTTTAAACTGAACAAAGAAGCATCATCCTTTCAAAATCCAAATCCACATATAGACTGTTTAAAGTTGTCTGAGAACAATGAGCATGTAGCTGTTTGGTGCAAAGCACACATATTTGTATTTGTCTGTTATAAGAAACCTGTGGGCATCAGTATATGATTGTTGGGTTCTGCTGGGTTTTAAGAAATCTGTTGGCTTCACTGGTGTTGATATTTTCCAAGAAGTTGTCAAGCAATTGCTGTTAAGTGGGATTTCACAATCAATTTACAGGCCTGCACATTAAGATTGAGGACCAAAAGAAAAATCACTAAAATTATTAGTGATACTCAGCCATAAAGTCGTGCATGTACTGATGATAAAAGAATATAGATGTCCCTTTTGGCCCCGTTGAATATCTTGCCAGCCATATCCAAGCCTTGCTTTAGGTGCCTTTATGGGAAACCCTGAGAATAGGCACTCTTCAACAGTTACAATCATGTGGAACAATACCCATGTTTTAGGTGATAGTCATAAAAATTTTCTTTTCCCTTTTATCCTGAATTCGTAATGGGGCCTATTAGCTTTGTTTTCAGGATAAGTACGATTGCTCTGTGGATAGTGGTGTGCCAAGCTGGCATGCCACCCCTTCAGGCACAAGATTACGGCAGTTTTAGTGCTATGACTAAAAAATCGGATGTTCAAACGGCGTCTTAACACAGTCATCTAACAGATGTTTCAATGATGAGCAGTCTGGCTCACACTGAGGAGATAGTGATTTGATTCTAACACCATCTTATGGACGATTTATTATTTCTTTGGTTTGAAAATTTCCATAGGGGAAAACAGAATTGTAATAAGGAATTTATAACAATAAAAATATAAACAAAACTACTGTGGTTTATAGCAGATTGCAGATTTGATTCATTAATCACATACAATTGTTGTCAATGTTTATATGTTGTTGTGCAGGAGGTTTTCTTGTGACAGTTATAAAATGTTAATTATTTTCATGCTTAGAATTATTACAGATTTTCATCCCATGAATGAATTATATTTCTGAGACTATTTTAAATCACCCATGCATAGCATCCTCAATGTACGACCTATATAAGAGTTTCATTCTTATTGCTAACACCATATTAAGACGACCTTGCCCTAGAGACTGATCCTGTACAACCACATTGGTTATTCCTTGCAGTAATATAAATATTTCTCCAGTAAGGTACATCTCTAGTAATTTCTAGCTCTCCTTAAGCTCCATGGGCATTTTATTTCAATGGTCCTCATGGAATGAATCAAAAAATTCTGTGACATTTGTATGTGATTTTGGTCTATTCAGCAGTGCCAGGTACTCTTGAGCTTGATTAGTTGATTATGGTTTTCCTGTGATTTTTTTTCCCTTTCACACCTTAAAAGTTCATTTTGACCCCGGTTTTTTAACACAATTATGCTCAAGGATATTTATCATCCGCATCCTGGATGATCCTCATCCTTCTTTTCCCCATTTCGATCAATTGGAACCAAGTTTTCAACTCATAAAATGAGCCCCTAAGCTCTAGAGTAGCAATCTCTCTCTGTAAAACTCACACACACTATACACAAATATGTATAGTGAAGGAAGCCCATGGTTAACATTAAAGGCTTTTGCTTTGATTGTTCTTTCTGAAATCATATTTTCCTACAACGTTAGCAAGTTCAGCAGGAAGCTCTATTTTTCCTTTTGGCAGGGGTGGTACTTTTATTGTGCCCCTGCCCCCATCTTTGCTGTGAATGACGACAACGACCTGCCATCTTACATGTACTTGACAACCTCATTTTCAGCCCAAACTAACTTTTTGGGTTATATTGTTCCTCTTATCAATTGTGTGTATGCCATTCATCTGATTGAAAGCAGTAGTAATGCTTTTAGAAGTGTAATAAGTTGCAAGGTTCACATGCTAATTTTCATTTCTCACTTCCATATTGATTGTGTTGGAAAATATCTGATGCGATAGCATTCTTCATTCAAAAATTACATTTACCTAAAGGTGCTTTCATTTACCCAATAAATAAAAAAAACGGTTTTTGTACAGCCGTTTTCTTGGCAGATGCTTGTGCTATTCTTGGATCCAAGGTGGTCTTTTTGTACTTGGGTCTTGCTCGCGCACACGAGAGAGAGAGATTTTGCAGCTTTGCTTAGGTTATATATTTTTTGCAGGGCTTAACAAGAGAACAACATCTGAGAAGCTTCGTGAAGCTTTTTTGAAATTTGGGGAGGTTGTTCAGGGTAACATATTCTTCTCCTCTATATAAATTCACTGTCTGATCAAAATCAGTGGTTCTTGAATATTTGTGGCTGCTACTTATCAAAGGAAGATAATGAATAAAAAATTTATCTTTTTCAGCCAGAGTTGTAACAGACCGAGTCTCTGGCTATTCAAAAGGCTTTGGTTTTGTCAGATATGCTACACTAGAGGAGGCAGAAGCAGGCATAAAGGGGATGGATGGCCAGGTTAGATTTCCAATCATAGCTCATTTGTTGTGCCTAATATTGACGTTCACACACACACATACAGAGAGAGAGAGAGAGAGTAACTTGGTTATGAATGTTATGGTGCAGTTTCTGGATGGTTGGGTCATTTTTGCTGAATATGCAAGGCCAAAGACACCTGGTGCCTCGGAACCACGTCAGGAGAACCCGATATAATGCCCTGTCGGATTTATACATGAATGATTTATACATAATTTACATATGATTTGCAGTTCTGATTAAGAAAGATCAGTCTCTGTCAAATTAAACAATTTTGTCTCTCTATACATTATTATTAAATACAGATGCTCGTAAATACCAGGGCTAAAGGATTTGTGCTTGGATATATTTGTTCCTGGCGTATTTGATGACGGTTGATTCACATTCAGTGATGCCTCCTAACCCCTCTCTCTCTC